TCGGCTGATAGCCAAGATCAATTTGCCTTCACCTGGGAAGGGAGGCAGTGGACCTTTCAAGTATTGCCCCAAGGTTATCTGCATAGCCCAACCATCTGTCAGAGTTTAGTGGCTTGGGACCTAGTCAAGTGGACTAGGCCCAGCATGGTTACAATGTTTCACCACATTGATGACATGTTACTAACCTCTGATTCTCTTATAGATTTAGCCCAGGCAGCTGCAATACTGCTAAGTAATTTGGAACAATGTGGGTAGGCTGTGAACACAGCAAAGTGCAAGGACCTGGGCTGTCAGCCAAATTCTTAGGAGTGGTTTGGTTGGGTAAGACAAGAGTCATCCCAGAAGCTATTATAGACAAGATACAGGCATATACCCTTCAGCCACAAATGTAGCTCAGCTACAGACATATTTGGGACTTCTGGGGTATTGGAGAGCTTTTGTACCCCATATGGCCTAAATGGCACACTCACTATATGCATTAACAAAGAAAGGAGCCCCCTGGGATTGGACTGAGGAAGTAGAGCAGGCTTACCAGGCTACAAAAAGGGCAATACAGCAAGTACAGGCTTTACAACTGGCTGATCCCACTAAGCCTTTTGAATTAGATGTACATATAACCCAAGAAGGGTTAGGATGGGGTTTGTGGCAGAGACAAGACTGATCCCAAACACCTGCAGGATTCTGGTCTCAGCTCTGGAAGGGTGCTGAAGTGCATTATTCTCTAATAGAAAAATAGTTAGCAGCTGTGTATTCTGCCTTGATAGCCAAAGTCCTAGTAAGGATGACATACCCCATACTAGGTTGGCCATGCATGTGGGCAACCAACCCTAAAATGGGTGTAGCTCAGACTCCCACTCTATCTAAATGGGGAGCATATATAGAACAAAGGAGCACTGTGACAATGAGTCCTCTGTCCAAAGAGTTGCAAAGTGCTGGGCCCAGTAGAGGTTGTGGAGGAAACTTTGGCACAACCCTTACCCCTGGAGGTGGGGGCTACACCTTTCCATGAGGGACAGGGACCTATCACAGAGCAAGCTTGGTAGACAGATGGCTCTACCATGGGACCCTCAGCATTGTGGACAGCTCCTGCTGTCCATCCCTTAACAGATACCATGTGGTATGAAAACTGCACAGGGCAAAGCAGTCAATGGGCTGAATCGAGAGCAGTATGGACAGTGATGAAAAATGAGCCTGGGCCATTAACCATCTGTACTGACAGCTGGGCGGTGTACAAAGGTTTAACCCTTTGGATCTCTACTTGGAAATATCAGTGGTGGATGGGAGGCCACTGACCCCTGTGGGGACAAGCCACGTGGCTAGAATTATGGGAATTGGGACATGAGAAAGAAGTAACTCTTTTCCATGTCACAGGACACTTTCCCTTAGCTAGTCCAGGAAATGATGAAGCTGATGCCTCGGCTAAGGTAAGATGGCTGGAGAGAGCCCCAGCTACCAATGTAGCCCAGTGGTTACATTGATGAATGCAGCATGCTGGCAGCAAAACCATGTGGATGGCGGCTCAAAGATGGGCCTTGCCTATAAAATGGGAAGATGTAGTGAATGCCTGTCATGCTTGTCCAGTATGTGCTCAAGAGAGTCCACACCCCTGATGGGTGCCCCATACAGATGGGCAAATAACTCGAGGGAGGGTGCCCCTGACTTGATGGCAAGTGGACTTTGTCAGGCCACTGCCAAGGTCAGAGAATTTCAGATACATCTTTGCTGCTGTTGATACAGCTACAGGTCTTCTGTTTGTATGGCCTTATAAGGCCCCAGACCAGGTAAACACTGTGAAGGCATTGAATAGCCTTACTGCCATGTATGGCCAGCCTGTAGTCATAGAGATTGATAATGGAACCCGCTTTACTGGACATGGGGTTCAGAGGTGGGCCTTTCGGTTGTCTATTCAGTGGAAGTTACACGTGCCATATCCTCCCAGGCAGTGGGAATGATTGAACAGTACAATGGTCTTTTAAAAAAGGGATTAAGGGGCCGGCCCTGTGGCGCGCTTGGGAGAGTGTGGCGCTGGGAGCGCAGCAACACTCCCGCCACAGGTTCGGATCCTATATAGGACTGGCCGGTGCTCTCACTGGCTGAGTGCAGTGCGGGTGACACCACACCAAGGGTTGTGATCCCCTTACCGGTCACAAAAAAGACAAAAAAAAAACCTTCCCACAAAGAAAACTCCAGACCCACCCTGAAGGGGTGGACACATTGGTTATGGCCAACAGTCAGGATTCTAAATGAGAGACCCCCAAGGGCAGACCCTCTCCAGTGGGAGCTCTGTTGCATAGGACTGCAGCACCTATACAACTGCACATCACTATTGAAGATAAGTTTTTGAAGCCAGGATATGGCAAGAATGGAAATATTCTCTTACCAGCCCCAACCTGTTTACAACACGGACAGACAGTACAATGGGAATGGCCTTGGAGAATAGAAGCCCCCCAGTATATGCTGGGTAGTTCTAATACGGCCTTGGGGGAAAGGATTAGAAGAACACTTGCAAGTTTCACCTTGGGTGACAAGTACTAGTCCTCCTTGAGTAAAGGTAACATGGCCTGGAACAGATAAGTGCTCTGTTCCAAAGGGCACATTTGTATTATCATTATGGCCAATTATGAGTTCCCCTATACCATTACATGTAGAACTTACAGATCCAACAGCGTTAGTGGATAAAGTATGGTATCATAAACCAGGTAAGATACCTATTTCTGTAACCATCCTTTCTCAGGATGGCAAACTGGCATGTATATTACCAGAGGGGTGAGAACTCCCCCTATTGGTACCAATAACCCTTCTGTCTTTTCGCCCATAGTGTTCTGGCCGCAGGCACCAGGGTTGACTGGGTACATATATACGTTGGTGTGTCAGCCTTCTGCATATGCAGTGAATTGCCGATCAGTATGACTACAGGATTATTCCCATGGAGAATCACACCAATGATGACTACTAACTGCATGTATGTGGCTAATAGTTGAAAGGACAGAACTACAGGACAAACCTTAAGGACAAGCCTTAAGACATATTGAACAGACAATAGGTTATATGAATGTAAGGGTCATTATCCTCACTAAGGGAACATCACAGAAGATTCTGAATGGTAGAGTGTATGGCGAGGGACCCTGAAGGGGTGGATTGTGAGGAAAATGGAGTAGTTTGGTAAGGTCCCCTCACCTTGGGTCTGGTTGGGTGTGGTGCAGCACATCCTTTGTAAACAAGTTGTGTGGGAGTAGAGTTAGTATGCATGCGTGCCTGTGTACCCTTTGGCTTGTTGCTATTTTTGTGTGCTCTTTGGTGTGTGAGGCAGTGGTTCTGAACTGCTGGTTGACAGAGCTCACAGCTAAAAATAAAGCCTATTGTTTCTTCACCCACAGCTCCTAGGACCTTTTCCTGTTACCTAGCTCATAGACCTGTGTGTGAAGGGTTTGTGGCCCAGTCTGGACAACAGGCTCAAGGGGTCTGTGAGCTCCAGCCCTAGCTCTACAAGTTTTAACTAGAATATAGTACTTTATAAATCCTTAGTAAATGGATAGTATAATAATACTTCAATAATAGATATACTTTAAAAAGGTGAAACTTGGAAAATATCAGACTATCATAAAAGAACATACAAAGAATGACAACAAAAATAACAACAACGAAAACCCCCAAGAAGGTAGAATATATAAAAACAAAGCTCCCAGCTTTAATTTTCAATGATTAAAAGCAGAAACCCAACTGACAAATCCATAGATGGTGTGAGGAAAATGTAATTAGTTTAGGCAGGCCCCCTCGCCTCATATCTGGCTGGGTATGATTCAGCACATCCTTTGCAAATAAGTTGCATGGGAGTAGAGTTAGTGCACATGTGCACCCATGTACCCCTTGGCTCATTGCCACTTTTGTGTGCTCTTTTGGTATGGAAGGCAGTGGTTCTGAGCAGCTGGTCCACAGAACTCATCTAAAAATAAAACATGTCCACTTTGCCTGTGGCTACTCAATTTTTCTTTTGACTACCTGACTCAGGACCTGCACAGGACAGAGTAGAGGGGTCTGTGATCCAGCCTGATGGATGGCAACTTCTACACCATTCTTAATATTACCTCTTCCATCTAACTAGCAAGACTTTTAAAGAACCAGCTAGGTTAAGAAGATCTGCGTGGTTTGAGAAGAAGCAATCTATTGGACAACATTGCTTTCCTATTTAACATGTCAGCTTCTTGGAAAATATGAGTGAAATAAAGATATCAAATAATGTAGTAAAACATATTTTTCATCTTCCTCGTATCTTATATTTCTCTCTGAAATAATTCCCCCCCCAGCTCTTAGATGTAGTAAACTATATCTGAGCCAATTCACAATTATGTACCAATTTATATCAGGAATTAGCCATATCCATATTAAGAAAATATTTTGGAAAATATTTAAATATTTTTGAAAAAAAGAGATTGCTTTTAGTCAGTTCCACTGGTTGAGGGGGAACTTGTTTCCTTAATAATGTTATGAATATTTTTTGAGTTGGTAGTTTCATGCATAGACTATCTGATTTCCTAATTAGGCAGAAGCATCAAAATGACCTCCTAAGATTATTGTGACTTTATGAAAAAATTTAGTTCTTAATAAATGGTTACTTAATAGAGTACAGTCAGCCCTTAGTATCCACCTTATCCTACTGTAGATCAAAAATATTCAAAACAAATTGTGTCTGTAGTGAACATAAATAGACTCCTTTTCTGTTTGTTCTCTAAACAATATAGTATAACTACTATTAACATAGCATTTACATTTACCAGGTATTATAAATAATCTAGAGAAGATTTAACATATATAGAAGAATGTGCATGGCTTATATTATACTATTTTATATCAGGGATTTCAGCATCCGTGAATTGTGGTATTTGTGAGAGGTCCTGGAATCAATCCCCCATGAATACCAGGAAATGACTATATTTATATCTATTATCAAAACTGTTACTTATATATTTACCTTCTGTCACTATAGAGTGTTTTTCAACAATTCAAGAGCGGAAACTAAAAGGCCTTGGATTCCTAAAGATTAACAGTAAAGGGGAAACAGAGGGAAAACATGAAGTTATTATTTTAGTGACATGTAACACACATAGATGAGAGTCCACAAAAGCAATGATATAAAAAGCATAAATGGAATGCAGAATATAAAAGCTGACAAATGTGACCACCTGCATAAGTATGGTGTGAGTGGCTCTGGTCTCTGGGGAGCATTTGTGGTAGTGGTTGGTGGTGTGAATATGCTGTACTTTCTGGTGGTGTCTCTGTAGGATAAATATCATCGAGCCACTGGCCCAGACCATGAGGCCAATAAATATGACATCATGGCCTGACTGTAAGAAGACCATGCTCACACCAATACTCAAAGATGAGCAGAACCACTTGCCTTCAGTATCAGTACCATTGTGTGTGCCCTGTGGACCAGTGACTCTCATGGGAACATAGATATTCATTAAGGCACTGAACATCCAGCAGGATGGACCCATGGCCTTGGGGGTTCTTCCCCTGAATATCAGCCTGTCTGGTCTCCCAGGGATGAGAGTGAGAAAACGACAGATGCTCAAGACACAAGTTGAGCACAGGGTGGTGCCACGAGCCACTAGGTGGATGTAATAGACAAGTTTGCAACCAAGACTGGACAGGGGGTTCCTTAGAACAAAAGCCACCATCATGTGGGGAATTCCAATAGAGAGAAGAACCAAGGAGTTAGCCACAGCCAGGTGAGTGAGAATCACCTGTATGGGTCTCAGTCTAAGGCCAAACAAGATTGGAGATATATTTTGAAAGAACACCATGACATTGGCCAGAGTACCAACCCAAACCTGAAAAAGAAAGATAGTCATTAGAGCCACTTCCCCTGCAGTTTTAAGGGTATTGTTTTGAGAAGACATGAAGAGAACTTTAGAGCAGCTTGGAGTTAAGAGCAGTCTGTGACAATGCAGGTGTCAGGACTCTTCCTCTTTATCTTGTCTACTAAAATAATTTTGGTCTTTTCTTCTCTGGCAAAAAGCAGTGCTGTCATATCAAAAAGAAGGGGCTCAACCTGGAAAAAATACCATTGACATCAATTGCATTTTGCAATTATAATTTTGTATATGTTCTTATATACTTTTATACTCCAACTCTCCACTGGGATGTAAGGTCCATGAACTTTGGACCCATGTCTGTCTTATTCTACAACATGGTGATATTAGCTTGAAATTAATATGGACTTTGTAAACCAGCAAGTGAAAGAAGAGAAAGACAAGAATGTGCTTTTCTTTTATTATAATTCATGATCATTCTGCCTGTCATAGTAATGCATCATGATCAAGTGGAATTCATCCCAGGCATGCAAGGATGGTTCAACACATGCAAATCAATAAATGGGATACACCACATCAACAAAAGCAAGGGAAAGCCATATGATTATCTCAACTGATGCAGAAAAAACATTTGACAAAATCCAGCATCCTTTCATGATAAAGACCATCAACAAATTAGGTTTAGAAGGAAAGTATCTCAATAAAATAAAGTATCACAATAAAAGCCATGTATGACAAACCAACTGCCAACATCATCTTGAATATGGAAAGGCTGAAAGCTTTTCTTTAAAGAACAGGAACAAGACAAGGTGCCCACTCTTACCACTCCTATTCAAAATAGCACTAGAAGTATTAGCCAGAGCAATCAGGCAAGAGAACGAAATAAAGCACATCCAAATTGGAAAAGGCAAAATCAAATTGTCACTATTTGCAGATGACATGATCCTATATATAGAAAAACCTATAACCTCTACCAAAAAACTCCTAGAGCTCATAAACAAACTCAGTAAAGTTGCAGGATACAAAATCAGTAGCGTTCTTATACACCAACAACAAATGAGGAGAAAAAGAAATCAAGAAAGCAATACCATTTACAATAGCTACCAAAAGAATAAAATACCTAGGAATATATTAACCGAAGAGGTGAAAGATCTTGACAGTGAGAACATCAAATCACTGCTAAAATAAGTTAAAGATGACCCCAAACAATGGAAAGACACTCTATGTTCGTGGATTGGAATAATAATGTGAAAATGCCCATATTACCCAAAGTGATCTACAGATTCAATGCAATCCCCATCGAAATACCAATGATATTCTTCACAGAAAAAAAAAATCCTAAAATTCATATGAAACAACAAAAGACCCCGAATGGCCAAAGCAGCCCTGAGCAAAATAAAATGAAATAAAATAAAACCGGGGGCATAACACTACCTGAGTTCAAACTATACTATAAAGCTGTAATAACCAACAAGCATGGTACCAGCATAAACACAGACACAACAGAAAAAAAAAATCCTAAAATTCATATGAAACAACAAAAGACCCCGAATGGCCAAAGCAGTCCTGAGCAAAATAAAATGAAATAAAATAAAACCGGGGGCATAACACTACCTGAGTTCAAACTGTACTATAAAGCTGTAATAACCAACAAGCATGGTACCGGCATAAACACAGACACGCAGACACATGGACCAGTGGAACAGAATAGAGAGCCCATAAAGCAACCCAAGCACTTACAGCTATCTGATCATCAACAAAGGCACCAAGAACATACACTGGAGAAAGGACAGCCTTTTCAGTATACAGTACTGGGAAAACTAGATATCCATGTGTAGAAGAATGAAAGTAGACCCATGCCTCTCACCATACACCAAAATGAACTCAAAATGGATCAGAGACTTAACTATAAAATCTGAAACTATAAAACTCCTAGAAGAAAACAGTGGAAACACTTCAGGAAGTAGGACTGGGCAAAGACTTTATGAATAAGACTCCAAAAGCACAAAAAATAGAAGAAAAAAATAAACAAATGAGATTATATAAAACTAAACAGATTCTGCATGGCAAAGGAAACAGTCAACAGAATGAAAAGACAACCTACATAATGGGATAAAATATTTGCAAACTATACATCTGAGAAGGGATCAATATCCAGAATATGCAAGGAACTCAAACAACTTCAAAGTAAGAAAATGAATAATCCAATTAAAAAATGGGTGAAGGAGCTGAATAGGCATTTTTCAAAGGAAAACATACAAATAGCTAACAGACACATGAAAAAATGCTCAGTATCACTCAGCATTAGGGAAATGCAAATCAAAAACACATTGAGATATCAACCTCACCCCAGCTAGACTGGCTCTTATAAAAAAGACTGAGAATAGCAAATTCTGATGAGGATGTGGAGAAATTCTCATACAGTGTTGCTGAGACTGTAAATTAGTACAGCCATTATGGAAAACAGTATGGAGTTTTCTCAAACTACAAATAGAACTACCCTGTGATCCAGCAATCCGTCTTCCCTGTATATACCCAAAGGAATGGAAATAATCATGTTGAAGGGATACCTACACTCCCATGTTCATTTACAATAGCCAAGATATGAAACCAACCTAAATGTTCATTGATGGAGGACTGGATAAAGAAAATGTGGTATATACACACAATGGAATACTACTCAGCCATAAACAAGAATGAAATTCTGCCATTCACAGCAACGTGGATGAGCTTGGAGAAAATCATGTTAAGTGAAATAAGCCAGTCTTAGAAATAAATACTGTATGGCCTCACTCATAAATGGGAGCAGGAAAGAGAGAGAGAGAGAAACATTGAACTTTCAGGAGAGAACAGAACTATAGCTACTCGAGGTGGGAAAGGGAGAGGGGGAGGGATGATAAGGAGTAATTGGGGAAGGGACACAAAAAGTAATTATGACTTGTGATGATGAACATGCTAATAATGTTGACTTGATCATCACATACTGTACACAAATATTGATAGTAAACTCTGTATTCCTTAAATATGTATAATAAATTATGTTTCAATTAAAAAAGTTAAAAAGAATGCAAATTAACATGCTAATTATAAAATTATTTATGTAAATAAAATAGCAAGAGAAACAATTGTCAGCTTTTGAGAGCTCTTAAAATTATTCATCAGAGGGACATAATACAAAATATCTTGAAAAAAATTAATAGTACCGTGACTACACAGATTACCCTAAAATGTCCTTAGATATTTTTTTCATTACAGATAAAATTATCAGTGGGTAAAGAATTTTATTTTTTAACAATTTCCCAGGTCTTAACTTGTAATGCTAAGTCAGATCGTGAAGATCTTTTCTTGAGTTGTCTCCAGCTGTCCTCAGTCCACACCAATAAATAAATGAGTAAATAAATAAATAGATAGACAGTATGACAACAGGACCCATTGCACAGATTTGTTTTAAATTTGTTTTTTTGGACTCCATCCCCAGCCTGGCCAAGTGCACATGGAGCAGGGAGATGTCCAACAGGGGAGGTGGAAGCTCAGCAGAGACCACATGCCCTGTGTGCTGGCACATGACCCAGCAGGTAGGCCTTGCCACCACTGCCTGACTCCATCCCCAGCCCGGCCGAGTGCAGGCTAACCAGAGAGGTGGCTCCCCAGAGAAGCCCAAGACCTGAGGCGACCACACACCCAAGGCACTAGTGGCCAACCAAGCAGACACTGAGGCAGCCATACCAAGTTGGCAGCCGCTGCAATATCCTAGCCAGACAATAGTGTCAAATCAGTGGACTGTGAAATCCCTTGCCATAATGACTAAACATCAAAGGAAAGATACCAGAAATATGAAAAAATCAAGACAGTACAACACCAAAGGGTAATAACTCTCAAGCTCTAGATCCTATAGAATAAAAAGTCAAATTGGTTTCAGCACCTGACAAGGAATTTTGAGTGATAATTCTAAGGAAACTAAATGAGATACAAGAAAACTCAGCTAGACAACACGATGAAACAAGGAAAAGTATACAGGATCTGAAAGAAGAAATGCACAAGGAAATCAATGCCCTGAAAAAGAATGTAGCAGAGCTTGCTGAGCTGAAGAATTCATTCAACCAAATAAAAAACTCAACAGAGTTTAACCAGCAGGCTTGCAGAAGCAGAAGAGTGAACATCTGACCTTGAAGATGGGCTGTTTGAAATAACACAGGCAGACAAAACAAACAAACAAACAAAAAAGAATTAAAAACATTGAAGAAAATCTAAGAGAGATATCAGACAACCTTAAGCAGTCAAATGTCCAAGTCATGGGTATTCCAGAAGGGGAGGAAAAACGAGATTGCACTGAAAATATATTCAACAAAATAGTGGCAGAAAACTTCCCAGTTATTGGAAAAGACACAGATCTTCAGATTCAGGAAGCCCAAAGATCCCCAAACGTATTCAACCCAAAGAGGACTTCCCCAACATATGTTATAGTCCAATTGGCAAAACTCAAAGACAAAGAGAGAATCTTAAAAGCCACAAGAGAGAAGCATCAAATCACCTATAAGGGAGCCCCAATCAGACTAACATCAGACATTTCCTCACAAACCCTAAAAGCCAGAAAGGAGTGGGATGATGTATTCAAAATACTAAGAGACACAGATTGCCAGCCAATAATACTCTACCCCACAAGGCTATCCTTCCAAAATGAAGGGCAAATAGTATATTTCTCACAAACAAAAACTGTGGGAGTTCACTACCACATGACCAGCCTTACAAGAAATTCTTAAGGGAGTACTGAGTGTGGTACCTGAAAAATAACTATCACTGCCATAAAAACTCAAGAAAAATCAAAACCCACTAGTATAATAAAAATGGCATCAATGAAGAGAAAAGAAAACAAAAAAAGGCTATCTACAACCCACGGAACCAAGAAATACAGAAAACAAACAGTAAATCAGAAAGAAAGGAACAAAAGACACTTGAGACACTAAACAAAAATCAATAAAATGCTAGGAGTAAATCAACACTTTTCAACAACAACTCTTAATGTAAAAGGCTTAAATTCCCCAAACAAAAGACAGACTGGCTGGCTGGATTAAAAAGGAGGACCCAAC